AGAAAGAGAAAAAAAAAAAAAAAAGGAGGGGGGGGGGGGGGGGTAAATTTCTTCAGAATTGCAAAAGTATGTCTGTAAGTTTAGCCTTTGTTCCTTTCCAGCCATTCTTCTTAACGCAAAAGCAAAGCCAAGATGGATGATTTGGAGATTTAAGCATTGTCCTTGTCTAGACAAAAAGAAAGAACAACTTGTCCCTGGTTTTTACTATATCTGCTTAATTCTCTTAGCAGCCACAGTTCCTGTTGTAAAATTTTTTATTTGGACTCCTGCAGTCATGTTCAGGGTAAATGAGCTTTTACCTCTTTGCTTTGGCTTCTGCCATGGGTGTTCTCTTCCGACTGCATTAGGACTCCAGGTAAAATTTTTCAGGTACTGAGAAATTCCAACCTCAACTGTTCTGTGATTCTGCTGCAAGCACTGCCAGAACCTCCCAGTTAGTTCCCTGAGGACACATTCCTTTTTTCTTCTTCTCAAACCGCCACTAATCTGACATACACATAGATCATTTCTTAATCAAAATAAGACATTATAGATAAGTTTGCAATTTTAACAGATCATGTTGCAGTGCGGTAGAAGTTGCATTTTCTAGTACCGTCCTCAGTTCAAAGGGAAATATTCCTTTAGGAAAGGTGAAAGGATTTGCAGGCAGCGGTCTGCTACAGAGGATAAGTGGAGTGAGTGGAAAGAGATAATTTAAGCACTCAAATCCTATGCCAGCCTCTGGATCTTTAAATATTTAAATGTCTGAAATGGAAAATATCTTAATGACTCATCATAAATCGTGCTTGCAAGATTAATATATGGAGAAATTTAAGAATGTAAGACTGCGGAAGGGTCACCTAGGATATCTTGGTTTTTCTACAGTCAATCTTGAAATATTACTGTTGAATAAATACTCTGGAGAGATCTGCCAAAGAAAAACTGAAGTATCCAGAACTCTTTCCAGCCAGCGTAAGTCTAGGGAGAAAAGGTAATGGACAGACAGGAGTTTGTGTAATGGTTTTGAGCACGTCAGGGTTTATCGTCACTAAAATTTTAAGTAGAGTGGAAAGCAGTATGTAATTTTGTTTTTAATATTTAACAAAAATATGTTGTCCTTTATTCACAGAATCTGTAACTGTGCTAAGATGAACTAGCTCCCCTTAGCATATTTCATGGTGATGGGGAAAGGAGGGCTTAAATGCCTGTCTTGAACTTGGTCTTGCTTCATCAAATAACTTCCAGAAAGTTAAAGAAATTGCTGCTTGGGCTGCAAAGTCTTCTGTGGCCAGCTGGAACCGAAGCTGGAGATACCAACTTCAGTGCAGGAAAGCAGGTGAACTTCCATCTGCCTTGACGTAGCTGTTTCCTCTGACGTGTTTAAGCAGAACAACCTTGAGGTTAGGTTTTTCCTTTTTCTTTCTTAATTGTTAAATCAGATTTGGAAGTTGTTTGCTTACCCCAGCTTTGCCTTAAGCACCCGGGAATTGCACACCAGAGTAACTGGCTCCAAGATGAGTTTCTTAGACCAAAAGAAAACATCCCTCTTGGC